AACAACAACAACAACTTAAACAACAACAACAACAACAACAACAACTTAAACAACAACAACAACAACAACAACAACAACAACAACAACAACAACAACAACAACAGGAACAACAGCAGCAACAGCAACAACAACAACAACAACAACAACAACAACAACAACAACAACAACGACAGGAACAACAACAACAACAACAACAACAACAACAACAACAACAACAACAACAACAACAACAACAACAACAACAACAACAACAACAACAACACCACCACCAACAACAACAACAACAACAACAACAACAACCACCACCACCACCATTGCACCTTTGCGACGAGCATCCATCCGTCGCCGGCGTCCTGCTGGAGGAAGAGGACGTCTCCTGCGCCGCACCCGAGCTCGCCAGGGTTGGTGCCTGGGAAATCATACATCATCTGCACACGCGCCGCAGTCGGCGGTGGGCCGGGCGGTGGGCCAGGCGGTGGGCCGGCGGGCTGGTAGCGATGGTGGTGGTGGTGGTCGTCGTCGTCGTTGTCATTGTGTTGGTCGTGGTCGTGGTGGTGGTGGTTTGGGTAAATGGGGAGAAGGAAGCAAAGCAAATTCGCTTGCAAGTTGACACGACCCATCAAGCGGCACGCAATTGTCCAAGCTCTGACGAACTAAACACCCACACACACAGAGTCAAAATGCACGTGAAACCACACACACGCACACACACACACACATACACACACACACACACACACACACACACACACACACACACTTTCACAAGCACCAACTCTCACCGGCCCATCCTGCCTCTGTTGACGCGGCTGTGCTTGCGGCTGCGGCTGTGCTTGCGGCTGGGGCTGCGCTTGTTGGTGCTGTTGCTGTTGCTGCTGATGGTGATGGTGGTGGTGGTCCTGCGGTGGCATGGATCGTCTGTTTGGCTTTGGCGATTTGCGCGGCTTCAGCACGTCGTCCAAACTCAGATCACCTGGCGGGGTGTGTGTGTGTATGTGTGTATGTGTGTGTGTGTGTGTGTGTGTGTGTGTGTGTGTGTGTGTGTGTGTGTGTGTGTGTGTGAAGACAGGCAGTAGAGCCAACCCCCCCCCCCCCAACTGAGGTGTTCTAGAGTTGCAGTCGGGAGGTCAGGCAACGGTACCTGGCAAAGGTTTGCCCGTGGCCAGTGCTCGCTGCAGATCCTGCGAATCGCTGTCCTGTTGGCCGCAACACAGCAGAAATAGCAAAGTGACAATACCATCAGCGGTTCGGCATGACCAAGAAAGCCCCTGCTTCCCAGGCAAACACACACACGCACACAGGAGATACAGTTGCAGTCCCCACAACATGATCCTAACAAGTACACATACACACTCCCTTTCTCCCGCCCCCTCCCTCTCACACACACACACACATGCACCGACACGACCTTGTTGAATTGCTTGCAGGCATCGGCTGCGCGCGTGAGGGCGGTGTGCTCCTCCTTGTGCAGGGCAAAGTACAGGTCCGTCATGAGCAGCATGTTGCCGACCGCTGCCTCGTTTCGCGCCTCGTCCATGGCCTGCACTGCATTGATGACATCACGCTGCTCCGTGTAGTAGTGCGCGGTGCGGGCGCGGTTGAGCTTGTCGAGGGCATCGGCCAGCGTGCGCTGCCCTTCCTCGCGCGCTTTCGCTTTGCTCGCGTATTCGCGGCGAGACAGGTCGACCTACAGGTGGCCGGAAGGCGTGTCATGATGAGGGGAGGGGGTGTAACAGTGCAAAAAAGGGCATGTGCATGCGCACGAGTGCGAGATCGTGTGGTGTGCACGTGCGTGTTGTGTGTATGGGTGTCATGTGCACGCGTGCGTGTGTATGCGTGCTTTTGTGTGCGTGTACTTTTGCGGAACAGTGTTCGCAGCTTCATGTGCGCCACCATATCACGGGCGTACACACGCACACGATACCAGACACACGCCCACTGCATACGCCACGTGGCAACCACTGACCTTCTTGCGGTTTGCAGATTCGCTGCGCTCGAGCTTCTCAAAGCTGGCCTTGGCAGACTCGGCCTCCTTGTCAATCTTGTCGTACACCTTCTTGGACTGCAAACAGACGCAGGTGTAGCCAAGAAACATGAGTTTCCCACCCCAGCCCACACAACACAGTACATGTGCATGGGTGTAGAATACATCGGCAGACTGATGCAAACAATGGCCAGGGAGATAGGGGATGGCCACAACAGAAGCCCGCGCGAACACAAGCACAAACACACAAACACACGCACACAAGTGCTCCCACCTTCTCAAACGCTTGGAACTCCTTCTGCAGGCTGGCTTCGTTCTTGTGGTAGTGCTTGGCGTGCTCGTCCTTCTCATGGGTCTTCTCCTTGACCAGCTGCTTGAGCGGTTGGCACACTTCTGCTGCGAGCGACGTGGACAGGTTGCCATGGTGCGTGGCAATGTTGTTCACAGAATCCACAAGCGTCTGGCAACACGTGAAGGAATGCGGGAGTGCGTGGGTGGGCGTGTGTGCGTGTGTGCGTGAGCAAGTGTGTGTGTGTGTGCATGAGTGCATGAGCAAGAGAGAGAGAGAGAGAGAGAGAGAGAGAGAGAGAGAGAGAGAGAGAGAGAGAGAGAGAGAGAGAGAGAGAGAGAGAGAGAGAGAGAGAGAGAGAGAGAGAGAGAGAGAGAGAGAGAGAGAGAGAGAGAGAGAGAGAGAGAGAGAGAGAGAGAGAGAGAGAGAGAGA